CATACAGTATATTTCATGATGTTGTTTATCCATCCCCTACTGATGGACATTTGGGCTCCTTCCACCTGTGGTCTATTAAGAATAGTGAACAGATGACAAGGTCGGCATATAGCCTCCTCCCTAGGGGACGGACAGCGGAGAAGTGGGTGAGGGAGACGTGGGATGGGGTAAGATATGATAAAATAATAATAATTTATACATTATCAGGGGTTCGGAGGGAGGAGGGAGCGGGGAGGGAGGGAAAAAATGAGCTGACACCAAGGGCTCAAGTGGAAAGCGGGTGTTGTGAGAATGATGAAGTCAACCTATGTACTAATGTGCTGGACACAGATGACGTATGTATAGATTGTGATGAGTTGTATGAGCCCCTAATAAAATGATTATTTAATAATTTTTAAAAAAGAAGTTGGAATCAACTCAAAATAAAAGAAAGAAAAAAAAGAGTAATGATGCTAAGAACGAGTTTATGTGTTATTAGTTTAAACACCTGCTTTCAATTCTTTTGAGTCTATACCTGGGAACAGAATTACTGGATCAAATGATAATTCTATGCTTAAATGACTGAGAAATGACCAAAAATGCATGAATATTTAAAACCTCCAACAATGCATTTATTTGTTGAAACATCTCAATTGGCATTCCATCAATTGTTAAAACCTTGATTTTTGCCAATGACGTGAGTTGGAAGTAAAATTTTTGAGCAAAAAGGTAGTCATTTTTATTTTAATCAGTCATGTGTGATCTGTTTTGTTATTCATTTATTACTGTATGTTTTGACAATTTCTCAGAATTCAAATACAAATTTGGAATGTTAATCACCATTTGAATTCTGCTTATAGGCAAATTGACCCCCTCCAACTTTCTTGCTCATTGTATAAAATCAAAAAAGAGTGATCACAAAGGGTCGAGGGGACCAGGTAACAAGCACCAAAGGGGGAAAAAGACAAAAGAAACCATATCATTGTGAATGAGGGGAGTGCGCAATGGGGACCCAATGCCCATCTGTAGACAACTGGACATCCCTTGCAGAGGGGTAGTGGGGAGGAGATGAGTTACTCAAGGTGCAGTGTAGCAATAAGGAAACTCACAACCTTCCTCTAGTTCTTAAACGCTTCCTCCCCCCAACTACCATGATCCCAATTCTACCTTGCAAACCTGGTTAGACCAGAGGAAGCATAGCGGTGCAGATGGGAACTGGAAACACAGGGAATCCAGCACGGATGAACCCCTCAGGACCAGTGGTGAGAGTGGGGATGCGGGGAGGGAAGAGAGAAGGGTGGGGGTAAAAAGGGGAACTGATTACAAGGATCTACATATAACTTCCTCCCTGGGGGATGGGCAATAGAAAAGTGTGTGAAGGGAGATGCTGGGGAGTGTAAGACATGATAAAATAATAATTTATAAATTATCAATGGTTCTTAAAGGGGGCGGTGGGGAGGGAGGTAAGGCAGGGAAAAAGAAAAATGAGGAGCTGATTCCAGGGGCCCAAGCAGAAAGCGAGAGGCAACGACTGTATAAGTGTGCTTCCCACAATTGATGTATGTGTGGATTGTGATGAGTTGTATGAGCCCCAATAAAATGATTAAAAAAAAAAAAGAGTGCTCAGTTGGAAAGTAGCTAGCAAGATAATGAGTTATAGCATTTTTTTGTGTGTGTACTTACTGTGTTTATGGCTTTGTGTTGTCGGTTGTGTATCTTAAGATTTATAGCCCACCTACACAATATATGTGATCAATACTGTTAGAAGAAATTAGCATAAATATCATTTGGAACTTGGCACAAAGTGAACTGTGGGAAACTGAGAACTGGGAAGAGAGTGTATGCAAACAAACGCTCTTCGCTAATATTTCAAGAGTCGGTTTTAATCAGGCTCAATCACTTCAGGGCCAGGGCCCACTCTTTGGAGTAATACTGCCTTCATGCAATTTGTCCTCCTTCCTTCAGTGCCATCTGTCCTTGGATCATGTTACTGTCATGGCTGACTGCCCACAATTCGTTTGGCATAGTAACTCGGTGTATTCCTTTGCCCTGGCTGATGTTATATGCATGCTCTTGTTAGGTGCCATCAGGTTGGTCCTGACCCCTAGGGACCCTGCCCAACAGAATAAAATTGGGCCTGGTCCTCTGCCATCTGCTCAAGTGTTCGTGTTTGAGCCATTGTGGCAGCCACTGTAGCGTCTGTATCATGGAAGGCCTCTGCTTTAATAAGCATGATGTCCCTCACCAGGGACTGGTCTCAGCTGCCAACATGCCCAAAGTATGTAATAGGGAGTCTCGCTCTTGCCTCTAAGGAGCACTCTGGCGAAACTTTTTCCAAGACAGAATTGTTTGTGCTTTTGGCAGTCCATGGTACTTCTCCAGCACCATATTTCAAATGCATTGATTCTTCATCAGTTTTCTTTACTCAATATCTTTCATATGCATATGAGGCCATGGAAAATACCTTTGGTCAGATGCACCTTAGTTCTCAAAGTAACCCCCTTGCTCTTCAATACTCTAAACAGATCGTGTGCAGCAGATCGACCTAATGCAATGAGTCTTTTGATCTCTTGATCTGCTTCCGTGAGCATTGACTGTGGTTCCAAGCAAGACAAATCCTTGACAACTTCAACCTTGTCCCATGTATCATGATGTTACCGACTGGTCCACTTGTGAAGATTTTGGTCTTCTTTACCTTGAGTTATAATCCATATTGAAGCCTGAAGTCCTTGAACTTCATTGGCAAGGGCTTCAAGTCTTCCTCCTTTTCAGCAAGCAAGGTTGTGTCATGTGGTTATTCCAGGTGGTTAATATATCTCCCCCAGTGCTGATGCCACGTTCACCTTTATATAGTCCAGCTCCTTTGATGATTTCCTCTGCATACAGAATGAATAAATATGCTGCAGAGAGATGTCTGGATTGTATGGAATTCCTATTCCCAGTTGTTTGAGACAGTACCATATCACTTTCCCACCAGTCATTGTTTATATTTAGAGTCCCACCAGTAGTTTCTGAGTGTTCTAATCTTTCTACGGATTCTCCAGTGTTTTCTGTTTTATTGAACTTGGTTGTTAATGTCAGTGTGCAATGGAATCTCGTTGCTGTTTTGATTTGCATGTCCTGGATGAAATATTTAGCAATAAATCTAACTGTATAAACTAACAACTTTTAAAAAATAA